TAGACATATATATATATATATATATATATATATATATATATATATATATATATATATATATATATATATATATATATATACAGCTCACTGCATGCATAATGCTACACAATGATATACTGTAAATCAAGCGGTTCCAAACAGCGGTGAGGTAATTACAAAATAAACACTCAGGGTAAACACGTATCAAAGATCAAGTATTCTGAGCACCATAGAGCAATTAGCAACTCTTTTAATAGCAGCACTCGGCTAGTATTAAATCGGCGTAGATTTCATACCCAGTTTCTTTCCTCTGCGCTCCTACCTGGCGGGAGAACGCCAATATTCGGTTTCAATAGAAGATTCCCCTTATTACGTTTTCGTAGCGCTTTGCATTGTGGTTATAGTGGTATCACTGATATTTAAGATGGCTTATTTTTTGTCCTGACCCGTGCAAGAACTTTTAATAAAAGCTAAGGTCAGGTGCGGGATAGCTAATTACAGCAAAATATTCGCGAAAACATTCAATATTTTCATTCGAGGCCGCTATCTTTATCAGTGATACCACTATAACCACAATGCAAAGCGCTACGAAAACGTAATGAGGGGAATCATCAATTCACCCTTTCGGAAAGTACGTCACTTCGACTCGAGTCGAATATGAGCTGATAGAGAGTGAGTGAGTGGAATAACTGTTTCATTATATACACGAGGTCTAAATTCACAGACGGCTTAATTTGCTTTTCGGATATTTTCAATATTTTTCTATTTTGGTTATGTTTTTATCTTCGCTCTTTGGGTCTTTTTAAATTTTAAAAATTCATTTGCTAACCTGTAAACAATTTTTGGGAGTTTTTTCATTGTGTTTTTAATCCTGTAAAGGCTATAAAAAGCGAACAATCGTAAATTCAGTTTGAGCAGCCATTTTGTTTTTCTCTACTATAGCAGGATATGAGCTAATATCCTGCTAGTAGAGAACCAATCAGATCGCAGAATACCTCATATCCAGACCTTGTGTATAAAATCAAAACTAGAATATTCTATAGATACTCAAGTGTATGGATACTTGAGTATGTACTTTTTAATTAATATGCAATGGGAATACGTTGAAAGTTTTAAATTTATGTAGATATTTTATTTTACAAATCAACTTATTTTCAGTATAAGAGCAGAAAATGATTTGCCTTGTAGCCTGATAGTGATTATGTTGGATTATACGTTGGTCAACAAAGACTAACATATCAAGCTGTGTTTATACTGCAAGCCTAGGCCTGAATTTAGCTTCATTTACCTGATCAATTAAATTTTTAATCAGCCACACTGGTAATTAATGGCCTGTTTATATGGTTTTCCGGAAAGCTCACCTGAGTGGGATAATTATATCTATGTTTATTATTTTGACTATTTTATCCGGCCCACTATTAAAATATTAAAATATCCCGCTTCGGTGGGACAATCGACATTATGTACATATGGCATCTTCGAAATATATTTGGTTGTAATTAAACACCTGCAACTTGTATTATACGACTTTAGTATGTTTATTTTCTATTGTATTTTCCAACTATACCGCGATCAATTATCATATATAGGTCAAAATCGCTAAAAAGTGCATCCCGTCAGCTGGGATAAAGCCTTGACGTGGAAAATTTTACCCCACCTGACCATTGATAACTGAAACGCTACCTCAAACCGGAAATTTGAAGCCAAACTTGAAGGCCAGTCCCAGTTTTTTCATGCATGGAAAGAGCACGGTCAATTCGTCAACACGTCAAATATGTATTCTTGAAAACGGGCTTAAAATTTCAAAAAAAGCTTTTTACCGGGGCCCAAAGCTTTCTATTAATTAATTCACTTATTCAGGTAATACGTCGTTGTAGACTTTACTTTATTTTGAAAGTGCATGCAACAAAGCATCCTAATGTAGTTGGTTACAAACGCCCACCGTTGTAAAAACTGTCCCATCTTCATCTATTGCCAAATATAGACGTGAATCTACACCCCAAACAGCAACCATGTTCGTACCAACTGTCAAGAACTGTAGGAATACTATAAAATGGGGTAAAATGCAAAAAAATTATAATTAGCATAAATAACGCTATATACTATTAATCGGTTAATTTAATTAACATGCACGAACAAGTTTTAACTTTCCAGCTAAGGCATGAAAAGACGGAATCACTGAATGCAAAAACAAAAGGTATACACAGTGGTCTTGTGAAAGTGACTTAATGTGCGCAGTTTTAATTTCGTGCTACAGCACAAAACTAGAAACTCGCAATTAAAAATGAAGGTTTTCTCATTTTAAAATGACATTGCATGGATTGTACCTGGTTTAATGTCCTTGCTACTGTACTCAAGTACTTAACTTAGTAGGGCAATTCTACTTAAAACATGGATAAATAATTTACGGAAGAGCGACGTACGTGCATTAAAATCGACGAAATATAGAAAGAAATATGCACTACGTTTTGAAAATGTCTTAATTTAATGTCAGTATGTTTTGTTGGTCGGGCAAGTTCATCAGTCATGATCGGCAAAAATTTGTCCGCTCTCCTAATATTTTCCTCCGGCTTAGGTTTATGGAAAGTTCTTATCAAGGCCAATAAATTGTAGTTATAGTTTTTAGAGCTATAACCATAGGCGTATCGGCCGGGGGGGTGCATGGGGGGCACAAACCTTTTACGGTCGGGCAATTGAGCAGAAATGCATGTGTCATACGGGAAAAACATATAACTCTCATCATAGTTGATAAGAACGAATGATTAAATAATTGTTCTTGGTTTTTGTCTTATCAATAGTGTTTCTAGACATTTCGGTTAAACTTCTGCTAAAGCAGCCTTTACCGGCAATCATACTTATTTGTTTATAAAATCCAGGGCCTTTTTTAACATACAAGCTGGGGGGGGGAGGCAAATGCTACCCCAGTTGACGCCCCCCACAAAATCACATTTTGGGGGCGAATCTCCTAGGAATATCGCCCCCCTTTATGAATTTCGCCCCCCCCATATAAATTTTAATTTTTTTGATCTAAAAACAAAACGATTGCAAGTTGAAAAGATCTATTGTGTGATTTATTTATTTATTTATTACAAGGAGACATTTTAGGCTTCTTAGAGGCATAACCGCTCATTTGAGGTACATAGACTAGTGTCAAATTCTACACATCTAAAGTGGAAGAGATCGCATAAAACAGAGAGAGATCGCATAAAAAGATATACAGAGATCGCATAAAATCATGTTGTCGTATTCTTCTGGCAGTTTACATTCACATAACATATTATATTATAAAAACAATCACTTGCAAATTTTATCAATATCAGTGTTAGCAATAGCCGCCACAGTAATCACTTGCTAACAATAAACTATAGGATTAATAGAAAATCTATGGAATGTGTTGGGAAGCGTGTTGACTATTGTCCATTGCATCGGTGAGAAATAATGCGGCGTTTATTCGAAGGCGGCGTTTAATAATATTTTTGCTTGTCCCTGCGGCGTTTATTCGAGGGCGCCGTTAATTCGAAGGAGGCGTTTATTCGAGTAATTACGGTATATGTCATAAAGTGAGTGTGTTGGCAAATGATAACGTGTGTTGCGGCCAAATGCAGCCAGATCCACCAGAGAATGGCCACGCTGTACTAAAAGACTTGTTTTGAGACATCTTAAATGATTATAACGAAAGAAAAGGAATTAAATATGTGTGTATAATTCAGGACCGGTATAGTTAATTACCCGAGGTCTTCGAATATGCTGTTTTCAATTTTGTTGTTAGGTACTTTTGAAAGTAGCGCGAACTTGTAAAACTTCAGTGTCGACAAAATATTGATCGATAAAAACTAACTCCTCCGCAGCCCTTAATATGTCACATATCAGTGACATTTATAGATCAGTGGCTAGGAAAAAACTTTTGTGTTGCATCTTGGGAAGGCGTTTCCGCGCGCCCCAAAGCGACTGGGGATGAGTCAGCGATAAAAAGGCATTTTTCGTACACAAGAATTGTACTCAAGGACAATTTAATTGCTCGTATCTTATATAATTGCTCGTGTCGAATTCTTAGTAATAACGCTCAAATTTATATACAAGTATAGTTTATTGTCGCTGTCTCTGGTTAAGGCTGGTTTAAACTATCAAAGTTTCCGACTGGTGATCACAGTAGGAATTTTGCAAAGGCAAATTCTAAGTTTTAACGGATTTGTAAGAAATTTTTTGGGGAACTGATTCTGAAACTTGAAA